AAAAAAGATTTTGCTCAAATTTCTGAGACTCTCAGATATTCAGAACAAAGTCAGTTCATTCTTTATGTGCCACGCATTACATTTAATTATAGGGTGCTAATTTGTATTTTAACTTATGCAGTTAAATTTGTGCAAATTGAAGCTTTTGGCAAATATAAATATAATGCTCGTTCTAATTAAACTCGCCAAGTTCCAAACTAGCTCATTTCCTTCGTTATCAGAATATTTTCTAATGCAGATTCATGATGATTTAATTGATAACTTTAAGTCTTGCGCATCAAAATGAAGTAATACATTGACCGTATCTCATAAAAATTTAGTCTCTCAACGATTAAAATCCTTCTCTTAGCTTTACAACGTTTGATGTGCATATATTTTTAGAAAATTCATAGAAATAGACTTTTACAGCTTGTGTGACTTAGGCATGGCAGCCAATAAAGGAACCATATTTGACAACATCACACGGGCGGTGGGTATCTCTTATCGCCACAACGTACGTTTGAACTAGGGATGCAAAGCAGTCATTGGATACTCAGTAAAGTACTTGGTATTTCCGATACTTTTACTGAGTATTCTGGATTACTTGAGTACATTCTAACAGTATCAGTAAATTTACTTGTATTGAAAGATTGCACTGAATTACCAATACTTGTACTAATTTACTGAGGTACCAGTATTTTAAGTACAAAATGTACTTTAATCAGATATCAACATATCCTTATGTATTACTACTTTGCATTCTCAGAAATATCTACATAATATTCGTAATATTTTAACCTACACACTATAAATTCATGTCTTTTGAATTTTCCTTTGTTATCAGTGTTGATCATTTATACCAATGCTGTTTTACGGTATCTATTTGTGAGACTTGTTCTCTTTATAAAAATGGACCGCCATTTATGAAACTTCTTTGTGGGTGGACATTTAAAAGTAATGTTAAATAGTTCTTGAGCCGCTATGGCTGAATGGTTAAGATGTTCGACACATATCCACAAGATAATGTGTTCGAACCTCGGCGCCATCAGACATAGAATAACCTTGGACAAGTTACTAACGGCTGTTTGTCTCGGACCATCCATCCGATAGCACGCTGACTACTTGTAACATACACAAAAAGCCCTTGTGGCTACTAGTAGTATGTGGTTGGTCAGTGTACATGGGAAGCTTAAGTGATTAAGCGAGAGGAACTCTGAGGAAGACTGGCCTTCTGTCCAGAGCTGCAGCTAGTAATAGTTGTAGGGAAAACATCGGGCTTTCGAAACTGTCCTTGGACAACACTCTATACTGAAAGGTAGCCGAAAGGCAAGGGTATTCTTCTTCTCTAAATAGTTCTTATGACATAATTTGCAGCATCCATTTACTCGATTTTTATCAGCAAACGAGAAATCAAAAAATCTACTCCATTTTTCACTAGCGGTTGATTAATTAATTGAGATATAAATGAAAATCGGTACTTGATTGAAAAATGATTTTAAATTTAAAAAACAGTTGATGTATGATTTGATATTAAAATTCAACAGAACTCTTTGTGATCTATCATACCCCAATCAATGCCTTCAGGATATCAGCCTTCCGCTGGCTCTATATTAACTATTGTTACATGTGACTATGATGCGATTCAATCAATAATTGATGTTAATAATTACAATTGAGATAGAAATATCGTGATAATAATTATTCATATACATTTTTTTAAAGATGTCACTAAGTTATAAACGTTAGGTGTATATCACACACCCCAATATCGATATCAATGCGTTAAATGTACAGCTACGGTTCATTATAGCTCTAAGTACTCTAATGTACTTAAATTTACTGTACTTGAGTATAACCCTACATAGTACAGCTACTGAGTAAAATGTACTCAAGTAAAAAGTATCTAAGTAAAGTACAAAGTACATTTTTTTATTATCCAGTATTTTACTTGTACTTGCTGTACTTGTACTCGTTCAATGACTGACACACACCCACACCCTTGCTATATTAAAAAAAATAGTATTCTGATTTCCGGAGACCAGAAATTATATCTGGACTCTATCATTTGATTTTTCTCAATATGATTGATCGAGTAAATGAATTTCAATTCATAGAAGAATAGTTCATGTCTGTGCATTCATATTTTAGAGTGTGATAATGAATGTTTTTATTTCTCTAACTTCAAATATTGAAGATGATGTGGATATGCTTGTAGTGAATGTAGTGTTAGAAGTTGTTTTCTGGATGGATAGTGAAATTGAAAATTAGGATTGAATTTATGATCATATTCAAAATCGGTAAAATCCTTATTGAGTTTAAACGCATGCACTGTTCGTGTGCCAGGAAATTGAGCCAAGCCGAATTTGAGAAAATAGTTCATCACAATGAATCGATTTTCATCTTTCGGGTATACAACAGTATGTGAACCAACAATGTTATTATTTTGAATACAGAATTCGGCAAAAGTGATTTTTTTGAATGAACCAGGAGTACCAATTGTCACATTTTTGAGTGCTGGATCAGAGCAAAAATCAAATACACGAAGAATATTTGGTCGTTCTGGTCTTGTGATATTTACTAAAATAACATATCGCATTTGAAATGTCATTAATAAACGTTGACCATTAGGAAACATGGACAAGAGACCAGCACTGATTCGCTGTTGATATCCATTTACTTGGGAGAAATCAATAGCTAGAATTGGATCAGACATGCCTGGACCGATTAAATACATATTATTCACATTACTACCACTAACATAAGAACGTCCTAATGGGTCACCAGGAATAGATTTAAGTTCCATGAATCCAATTCCGTGTCCGATTCCACTTGATGACCCTGGCGTTGTAGGGAAATTGAATTGAAAAGTACGTTCCAATGTCCCATCAGGAAGAATATGTCGAGCCGTATTTCGAAATAGAATTTGTGATGGATCAGTGCCGACTAACGAAATAGGTTCAAGAAAGTCCGCGACGAAGATTGAACCATTGGGAAGTCGACCAAATCCATGTGGATTAAAGTCGATGAAAGCTGAAATATTTTTGAGAATTGATTTTGCCGTACGAGTCTTAGCATTAATATAAACCATATTGCCAGGATTGGCAGCTTGTTCATTACACATCATGCTCACAAGAAATTCAGGGCCACCAATCGGCAAAAACTCGTCTGGACACGCACCTGGTGCATCAAGTGCATATAGAAATTTTGGACCTTTCGCAGGATTTTTGGGAATCTCCCACACAAATATTTCTTTATTTTGCGAACGAAAACTGAAAAAACCGCCACTAATATAATAGCGACCATCGGAAGAAATGGCTGAATGATGTGGCTCATTTCCTACTTGCATAATGCCATTGGGAGCGTCCGAAACAAGCGAAACTGTTTTTAAAATATGCCCATAGGTAGGAGACCTTTCATCAAAGTCGATTACAGCAACGAAATCAGAGGCATACGGTACGGAATTATCTTGTCCAGACCAAACATATAATACAGATGGAGAGGATGCTGTGGGTACATGTTTGTCAGACCATGAAGATGCTATTAGCAGAAATATGCTGAACAATGTAGCATAATGATGCATGTTTTCGTTCAATAAATGTATATTGAATTCTAAAATTTTTTCGCAAAAATAGAACGAATTCTGGTTAAATGAACAATGGAGGGATTCCTCGAAAATAACCATAGTGGATTGATCCATAATGAGAAAAAATAGAACGAAAAGATACCGCCGGCTAAGTTAATAAATCTGGCATCGTCCTAGACAGCGTTCCAGTCAGTGTAAAAGGAAAATTCACCCCCTTTTGCATAGTTCTGTGCATTGTTTTTACTATTTCGTGTTGGCAGATTGACTGATGTGGGAGTATTTTGCACAAGGAGTGTTTTCATTTTACATGTATTTTCCGATCATGAAACTTCTATTCTATTAACTATGAAAACTGTCTATGGATTGATTGTTTTCTTAGCTGTTGTGTACCAAAAGATACAGATGATTTTTCTCTACATAATGCTTATAAGTAATCGATAGTTAAACCAGGTAGAGAATGAAAATCGAGCACACCAATTTTAGATAAATATTCAAATTGTTGCAGTTTTTTCTTAAAATCTGGAAAAAACTGTTCTAGTGGAACGCATCGTTCTTTCCTATGACTCAAATGACAAGATTGAAACTTCAGGGTGTGGGTATCACTCTTCTCTTAACGCACAGCCCTACACCCATATCAACATCCACACCCAACTAGTTTCTAAGCGTCATTGCCAACGTAAAAGAACATCATGAAAATTATATATTGCACTGTTAAAATTATTCACAGGAAAAGTATTATCACAAGCACATTCTTCGTCAAATACTAACTTATAGAGAATCTTTTCCATGAAAAGTTATGGAGTACTTGTTTTTCATACAGCATCTTATTTAATTTTCAGTGAAATCAAATCTTTTCCAATGGTTAAAGAATACAACCGTGGACGGTTTTATTTCTACATTGCAACTCACAAACTAGATTGACAATACTCACTACAGACACTTTCCGATGCGAGTGACTTCACAGTAGCTAATCTCTGCTATTCATTTCGTGAAGAATTTAGAAAAGTTTTCGTCGTCAGGAAAATAACTACCGCGCACAAAAATGGTCAAAAACAGTAAGCTTCACATGTAAACTCCAAATTTGGAGCTCACTTACGCATCCATATTTTACCATAAAATACAGTCCATGTCTTGTGGTTTAAAGCAGTAGGGCCCCATTTGACTGAGATACTAGGTTAAGTGATATCTGATGTTCAATAGATACTTTGCCTGGAATGCTAGTAGCATCATCTGGGATATCTAGTAGCAACACCTGTGATGCTAGTAGCATCATCTGGGATGCTAGTAGCTACACCTGAGATGATAGAGGCATCATCTGGGATGCTAGTAGCTTCCCAGATGATGCCTGTAGCATCCCAGGTACAGATACTAGCATCCCAGATGATGCTATAGCATACCAGATGATGCTACCAACATCCACGATGATGCTACTAGCATTACAGGTGATGCCTCTAGCATCCCAGGTGGTTTCTTAAGCGAGCTCCTAATTTGAAGTTCACATAGTTCGGAAGTCAATGTATAAAATGTGGATGCGTAAGTGAGCTCCAAATTTGGAGTTTACGCAGCTTGTAGCTAGCTTTTTCTCACCCACAAAAATAACATTATACAAGGTTAGTGGCACTACTTGAGGACAGAAAAACCCGCCTGATACTGATGAGTAAAAAAGTCCTTCTAAAGAGATTGCAGTTTCAAAAACACATACATTTGTTCACTGTATTCGTTGAAAATCTTGTGTCCACTCCGAGAAAACCAGTGTGATGTATCGACCTTGTTATATGATTGAAACTAAAGTATTTTGGTATCTATATATACGTTGCCAAATAAGTTTTTCTTCCAAGCATCCAACCGTGTCACAAATATTCATGACGATGTTTTTAAAACATACTTCCTTTTTTTGTAGGAACAAAAATATCAGCATTTTCCTTGTTCTCTTATTCGTCGTTCGTATAAGGTAAACATTATTCATAACCGTACAAACAGCTGTGCATAATGATGTGCGCGAAATGGCGGTAATGATATTGTCAAGACATACTTCCTTTTTTATTGGAAAAAATGTCAGCATTTTCCTTGTTCTCTTATTCGTCGTTCGTATAAGGTAAACATTAGTCATAAAACTTACAAGCAAATATAGGTTTATTTCTTACTTTTGATCTTTCATCACATCCACAGTAACACTTACACCCACACCCTAGCAAATGTTTACTTTCAGCAAATGCATCGTTTGCATAAAGCTCTAATTCAAAAGCGACCGGTTTTGGCAAATCGAAATGGCATCATTCATATGCATGACAATGAAGAACTACACATTGTAAATTTGACTCAGCAAAAAATTGAACAACTGGAATGAGAGTTTCTTGCAGACACACCGTACTCATCAGATCTTGCACTATCAGATCATTTATTTCGACCTCTTCGAAAGCATCTGTGCGAAACACACTATGAAAACTTCAATGAATTCAATTTCGGCCTCATTATGCCTGTTTCGAATCACAACTACCTAGTTTCTACAACCGTACGATTGAACAATTGTCAGTAAGATGAGCGAGCGTTGTCGAAAATATTGATGATTGTATTTACTCAATACATTATACATATATTTATTTAGACAAAATTAATTTATTTCACAGATTATTACTTATCATACATGATTATTTTTATCTCTATATAGATTTTGTTTTCTTACAACAATAGACAAGACAATTTTTTCTTATTTTATTGTTTTTCTTTAATTTAATACTTAATTTTTTTGTCTTTCAAAATATTACTGGACAAAACGTTTTTGAATAAGGAAAATACTCTTGTAAAGAATTCCAATATTTTGGTTTACCCACGTAAATATAATTTACTTATTTTGGCACAATTAATTCGTGTAGCATTTCTTGTGAAATTGTGTGTTACAAGTTCTAAAGATTCATATGTGATATAAAGAATAACATTGTTTTGCGAATACGTTTTAGTATCAAATAGAAATTGATCTATATAATCATCATGGACATTGAGAATATAAAGTTCACTAACAATGGAACCGTCTGTATTGTTAATCGAGTTGATCGACCTTGTTCGGGTCAAATGAAAGCTCTCACCGCCAAACTAACAAATTTAAAATATTACGTCCCCATAGCGAACCTAGGGCAAGTTACAGAAATTTCAACGTATGTGAAATTTAGGTATAAAAATGAA